AAAAAAAATTCTTTTTATTACAGATCCAGAGGTTCTGTTCTTTCACAGACCCACAGTCTTTGGAAGGGAGGACAGCGATGCGCTCATTGCCTGCCCGGTGACAGATCCAGATGTTTCCAATTTCACTTTGAAAAGATGTCATCACAAACCCCTGCCTGAGAATATGACCTTAGTTCCTGATCCTCGGAAGGGAATCACCATAAAAAACGTACAGAGGTCATTTCTAGGCTGTTACTGGTGTGTGGCGCAACAAGATGGCGTTGAGAAAAAATCAAAAGATATAACACTTATGGTGAGAGCAGGTAAAAGATGCATTCAGCTGAACTCAAATATCTCTTATAGTCGGACCGTTGTGTACAATCCCTTTTCTTGTACAGGTGGCAAACAGTGTCTCTAGTTTACAGGTAACTCTCGACTTGAGAGTTGGTTTAATGACCACTCAGTGTTACAACGGCACTGAGAAAGGACCATTTTTCAGACAACTGCTGCATCATCCCCATGGTCACATGATTAAACTTCAGACGCTTGGCAACTGACTCATACTTATGACGGTTGCAGTGATCCAAGGTCACGTGATCGCCTTTTGCGACTTTCGGACAAGCGGACTCAATGGGGAAGCCAGATTGATTTGAGAACAACCGGGTGGATTCAAGATTATGAATTGTAGCCTTACAAAATGGCATTAGATGAGTTTCCTCATTGACTTTTAGTCTTTTTGTAAGATCAAATACAGGGCAGGCTTATTATCTCTATTTGTTACATAGTGCCTATAAATGTTTTTACATTTTTATTTGGGTGATATGTCCCAGTGTTTAAAATATGTTTAGCAAATCTGATACTTTATTGGAAGACTAGCCGATAACCCGCCGTTGCCTGGGTATTTATGGACATTGAAGCGTTTGTCTGTTAGGGAGCCATTGAGAGGGGCCTTTCTTCCCCCTACTCCCATGCCCATCATCCCTGCCCTCATCCTTCCCCCTCCCATGCGCTCCTCTTTCCTGCCCTGTATATGATCCTGGCACTTTGCCCCAAATCTATCTGTCATTTTCCCATTGGTCCACTGGATGGCAAATATCACGGCTGGCTTTCCAGAGGAAGTTGCGAAGGAACTGACATCACAAACAATTGCCGCTCTAGGACACTACACTTGCTTTCCTTAATGGGCTAGGCGTTCCAGAGTTATGCTGGAACACATACACACATACACACACACCCCACCCCCCCCAAAGGTGTCTCCCCTCCCCACCCCCCCCCCCAGTATTTGTTTCCAGAGAGTAAGACATCTGTGTACCAAGTTTGGTTGAAATTGTTCAAAGTGCTCCAGAGTTATGCTGGAACATACATACATACAGCCTTTTTTAAGGATCTGTCAATTTCGACCCCCTTTTTGCATATAATTACAATAATGTGCATCTGGATTGTTTTGTTTTTTTTAGTTCACAAGTCCTTACCATCCATCACCTTGTCCAAAACTATGCAGCTTCTCAAAGAAGGTGAAGAATTTGAAGTTACATGTACAATCAAGGATATAGATAGCTCTCTTAAAGCTAATTGGATTTTTCAAGGCAATGCGGTGAGTTCATTATACCTAATATGTACCAATGTACTTGAAAGCGTAGTCTTTCTGAAATAATAACTTAAGAACAGGTCTGAGATATAAGTTATTAGCTGTGATAAAGTAATATTCATGGGAGGCATCGTTGTTGGAATGATAGCATTGACAAATCTTGAATAGAAGAGAAAGAACAGCTGCACAAAGAAAAGGTAATGGGAAGTAAGAAATTGGAAAAAAAGTTTTGGTACAATGAGGAAATGAAAGAGGATAGGGATGAGAAAAAAGATGCATATAAGAAAACAATTGCTGCAATAAACGATGAGCAGAAAATATAATGGGTATACAATTCTCAAAGTTATACAGTCACAAAGAATGTAATCCAAGAAATCAGGGAATAATCAAGATTGAAAGACAGAGAAAATGCAAAAAATAATAATAAAATCTGCTAGAAAAAAGACAGAGAAAATGCAAAAAAAAAAAAAAAAGCTTTGGGGGAAATTAAAAACCTTTTGGAAAACGGAAATCTGTGGCATAATATGGGGATTTA